ATAAAGGGACAGGGAACTAAAGATTGGCCTGGAGGGCTGACTTAGAAAAACATACCTCTACATACAAAGGAGAACATGCTCACTCACATGCAGAAGGCAACCAGACACTCACAAAATCGGGTAAATGGTACTTAGATTTCATGAACTCTAAAATACTTGCATTATAGCGACACTCTATTTCATGGGCCTGCCAAGGCAAAAACCTATCGACAGAAAGGGAAAATGAGCGTTCAGAACCCTCTTCCTCCTAACCCATAGATTTAATCCGTTCTGAATCTGCATCAGGGTCAAATGAAATCACTACCATATCCCCACTTGACATAGTAAAAGGGACATAAGAACCCATTAAGCCTCAATGATTAGCAATAGCCTCAACTATTTACCAGGGAGAACCCTCTAAGAGTAATTGTCTAAAATTAGGAATCTCTGGGAAAAACTTACCAACAGAATCTAGGTGGTTATAAGCGCTCATGACACTGTCTGGATCACTATTACTATACACCAGTATGGGTTCGTTGCTCATAAAGAGGAAAAATAAAAAAGAATGATTGAAAAAAGCTCTCCTGTGAAATCTAAAAGCAAGCACAAAAGACCTAGGCGAAAGGGAGAAGAAGAATAAGAGGTTGGAGAATGGTATTTATACCCATCACCAAGTGACTAGATTCGTTTAATCCAACGGAGTGGAACCTAAGGATTAGGTCCATACCAAACGTTACAACACTTGGCGACGGTTGGAAGCCAAATATGCATTGTTTGAAAGGATATTGCCTTAAATGCGCCCCTCAGAACTCAAAAAGGCACAAAAAATCATCATTTACAAACTCAAGATTAATCATCACAATCGTTGAAAACAAGGTTCGAGGCTAACTGGCCCGTTGAATAAAATTCCTAAGCGACTCAAGAGATCACAAGGAATCGAGGCGCTATTGATGGATATAATCCCTACTACAGTCTGGACCACGGAACACATTGAACAGTCACAACCTTAGATAATGACGACAATTGGGCTATATCAACCATTATCTGCATATACCTAGATAGAAAGGATCTGACGCTTGGCATAATATATCTAACACCACGCGTGGGCTTCCACTAGGTTGACATAAGCCAATGGTGGAGGCTTTTGTATGATGATAGCTTTATGTATACTCAACCATGAATGATTATACCTAATCATTACCCCTTATGCTAAAAATACACTCAACACACACTATGAAACCCCTCATAAATGAAGGTTTTGACCAAGGAAAAATAACCTAAGAGAAAACTCTCTCTCTCTCTCTCTCTCTCTCATCTGATAAACATTATCAATTCTGCTAAACCAACTTTGGCATCAGAGGTGATTCGCTTGGGACCAAACGAATACCCTACTCTCAATTGTTTTTGACTGGATCAAAGCCATATCATCGCCATTACCCGAGAACTGGTCTCCAAACTCTGGACCCATCTTATCGACCTTTTTTACTAATTGCTCCATCATTGTACATATCCTCTCTCTTTCTCTCTTTTTTTCTCTCTCTCTCATAAACACACGCAGAGATCTGTGATCTCTCACCAACAAACATTGAATAACAAACAATGCCAAAAATGGAAGAAGCCATCGCCTCTGCACAGATCTCCCACCACCAAACTCACTTGTAGCCATCATCTCTACACAAATCTGTAGTGAAGCACGCCTTGGGGGCAGAGATTTGTCGTGAGTCATGGTGGGTCGGTGGTGGTGTCATGGATGATCGATAATGATTTTAGTTTGGTTTTAGGTGGGGGGTAGTGTTGTGTTGCTGGGTGATGTTTTTGGCATGGGCAGTGCTGTGGTGGTGGGGGGCGGTGCTGTGTTGCTATGCGGTAGTTTTGAAATGGGTGGTGTTGTGGTAGTGCGGGGCGCTGTTGTGTTGTTGGGCAGTGGTTTCAAAATGAGTGGTGTTATTTGCTAATGAAATTATAAATTTTAAATAACATGACTATTAATTAACATTTTAATGAATATGATTACTAATTAACATATTAATTAAGCAAACTATAAATTTCAAAATTATTTAAGTTAATGATTAAAAAATATGATGTTAATATTATAATTAACGCTAATATAAATGTGGGGTTTGATAAATTTATTTTTTGAATATAATTTCATTTGAGCTCTTCAAATTAATTCAAGAAGGCATTGTTGGTATTATAAAAAAATATTTTGAAGCCATCAGCAGTGACCATTAGTTTTTTCAACGTTCATTAGTAGAAAGGGGGTGTGACAGTTACAAGTTTCATATGGCAAGGGGTTTTAATGTAATTTTTGAAATGTGAGGGGATATCCGTGTAATAAAACTAAATGTCTAGAGACGTGAGTAATATTTTCCCTTAAGCTTTTGAACTAATTTAGTGTCAGTTTGACCCCTCAATTATGTTATTTTACTCAACGTGGCCCTATCATCCAAATCCACTCTTTATTTTAACGAAACTTTCAAGTACACGTCATGTGAGTCAAATATTAAGAAAGTTAAAACTATACATGTGATGTGTTTGTAAGGCGATCCATTAAAGTTAGCAACAAATTTCAACAGAGGGATGATATTGAGTTAGATATTATATTTAAAAAGTTAAATTGACACAAAAATTAGTTCAAAAACTTATTTGATACAAATAACATAACCCATGGGACATTTATGTAATTTAGTCTTTTGGATGTGTGTGAAAAAATAAATTAATCAACTTATTATAAAGCATGAATAAATTTATTATTTATTACTAATACTATCAAAAAAATATATGATCTTATCTATTTGATTAGGTATTATACCAATTAATATAAATCTAAAAGGCTTCTTAAAAAATTTTACTAGCATGAAGGTCAAATAGATTTTTTTTTTTTTTTGTGGGGTTTACAATAGTGTACTTAATTAAGAGATAAACATTCCCCTTACACTTTGCCCTTAAGCCCGAGAGGCCCCTAAGGTTTGAAATTTGACACTATCCTACAATTTTCAAGTGAATAAGGATAACCTAGAAATTAAATTAGAGCATATTAACTAATTAGCAATTATCTCATTGCTGAAGATACTTGTAATACTAAGAATTAAGCATTGATCGTGCAATATTTTATATTTTAAATAATAATTTATTTTTTCTTTAATTACATAATTTAAAATTAAAGTGAACAAAAAGAAAATATGAGAGAGGTAATAAAGAAAGAAGAGAGAGCTAGGTGTGAAGTACTAGGGTTGTCTGACCTTAAGAAATGTGTTGGTTAAATTATATGACATTGATTTTGCAGAGAAGATGATGTATTTTAGCGAAAAAAGAAAATTGGGATAAATTTTATATCATTGAATCAAAGTAGATAAAAATTATATCAATCTCGACCGTTATTATACTTTTATAAGTTAAAAGTTTAACTTTTTAACCATAAATATTATATCGATGTGGATAATAAGAACGGTAATATTCATGGAGATGTTACAATCGTAAGTAAATCAATTTAACAGAAATGACCTTTCAAGTGGCAAAGTGAATAAATGGAGAAAAAAAGTGTCATTGGCTCAAAGAATTACATCACTATCTATTATACCGAATACATTTAAGATTAATTTTTTGGAATTCGAAGTGACATAATTCCTTCAATAATTAAAGTTGAATAATCAAAGTCTCTTTCTGGTTCAATCAACAAGATCGTATATTTTTCAAATTAAAACTCTGTTAAGACAGACCTCTTTTCAAATTAACTAAACCTCTATTTCACATTCATAAAAAATGTGTTTATCTCTTTGGGTTGCACAATCCTTTTAAACGTTCTATTTCATTATTGAAAAAAATAACCTCATCACTATGGCCTTTTTAATGGACATTCTTAGCTTTCTCGGGGGGGTTGACATCCCATAGATCAAATCTTAAACTATTTTAGCCTTTTATTTTCACTTGATTGGGGCAGAAGGATTGCATTGCTATTCATAATCCGGAGTAATATATGAATTAATGCTTCCATTTTTCTTGCTTGAAATCAATTTCGTTGAAACATATACAATATTGAATATTCTATACTAACTCGTCTGAGAACAAGTTAATTTTAGTCTCCAACCACCAATCCTACCTAGATGGTTAGAACCCTCTATAATAGGTGACAAATTGATAGTTCGAGTCCTCTTCCCCTCCCCCTTCCCATCCCCTCCTCCTTGTGGTGTGAAAATATTGTTGCTTATCCAAAAAAATAAAACTTATAAAATTAACTTCCCATTGATGTATTGTGTCCTCGAGATCCAAAAGACCCTCATCCTACTGTTGGTAACTTTTTCAAAGTAATTTTTAAATACTGAAAGAAAATAATCATAAAAATATATATTTTTCAAGAGCGAAATATATATTTTTGGAATAGAAATAGAGAATTGAACATATATTTGCATATGCTAAGAGTAAGTCAGACAAAAAAAAAACAAAGTACACAAAGCAAAGATTACTTCAAAAAACATCAAAGCAAAAAACGAAAAACATATAAGAAAGTGTTACCAAATCTTACCTAAATTTTCAAAATGAAGGACCAACATCACACTTGTTTTTGCACCTCATTTATCGCGCTTTTCGTCTCTTCAAGTCTGTCAAACACACGTGGACTATAGCCACGGGCGTTAGCAGCCAGATTACTATCATATGCATGTCAGACAGGATAGTATTAACAACCATGGCAGCTGCTAAATTAATAAATCAGTAAAACATAATACATTTGAGGCTCTCTCACTTGTAAACCTGTTATTCACATACCTGTAGACAGAGAACATTCCTACCATTTCTTGTAGGCACAATCATCTTACATAAAACTCAAGTAGGCCATGAAGCAAATAATAGATGCCACACAATGAATCCACTGTGTTGAATGACTTTGCAAAGAAGTTATCAAAGAGTTTGCCAAGAATTTGGAAGTTTTCCCTCTGAAGGGCTGTGGCTGTGTGTAAAACAAATTGTTCAATAAAGTACATAACAGAAAGAAAATTATCCCAGTCACTGACAAAGCATTAAACCTAGCTCCAACATAGTGCAGCTGCAAGAGGAGAAACAAAGCTAGGTTTGAACCAGAAATTCTTGAAGCAGTGAGGAAGGTCGGGGATGTTCAGAGGCGAGTACATTTCAGTCCCTTCTGGTGCTTCAGGGGAAAAATGAGTGAACAGATCCCTTATGGAATGGTTTCGAGTGGTCACCCATAATAAGTAACTTTCGTCATTAAATTTACCAATCGTTTCATAGTGCAAGTTAGAAGTCCACTTAACACTAGTATCATATCGCTGTTGGCGACTCAATGAAAAATCTCCAACCTTGTTTCCTGTTACTCTCCATATTTTCATCAGATGCCTATCATGCTCTGCTAAAGTCAGACTTCCCTCCAAATCCATCATATCCACATATGGCCGAGGGCGTGAAAAATTGTCGGGGAAAGAGATGACTTGAAACTTCTCATCACTGACATCAATAGCAAGGATGTGGATACTCCAATAATTAGGAGAAATTCTGTTCAGCATTTGACAGTAAAACACCCCATTGCAGAATACCACACTACTTGCCTGCCAATCAAGCATGGGGACATCTAATTCTCTCCATGAACTTTCTCCAAGGGAAATAATCTCAAACCTGCTGACTTCCTTACCTTTTCTAATTCCACGTTTCCGAACAACTTTATACTTTCCAGTTGAGGAATCAAAGCCCAAACTAACCATATAACTCGACGGCAGGCGTCTTGAACCTGACGGCAAAATCATCTGCTCTCCTGTAATAGGGTTGTAGATGCACAGAGGATCTGGCCTGCCATTCCAAGCTTTAATGCAGAGCAAACCATTGCAAGAAGACAGGATTTGGAAGTCTTCCCAAGGCACTTTCTCGACTGGGATCTGCCTAGTTATGCATTCGTCAATATCAACCACAGGTAGTTGACTTATATTAAAGATTGACCCTCCCCAACGTAGTGGTTCAAGGATAAGTCGATTTTTTGACCTACTGAGTTGCAACTTGATGAAACAGTCATGTCGAGTCACGCAATACCAACTCTTGCAAACAATTCTGCATGTCAAGATCGATTCTAAAGGAAGCCTAGATAGAATATCTGAGATTATCCATAATGGAAGATCATTAACTCCCTTGATTAACTGACCTCTGTTGTTTTGAAATAATGCTAGCCTCAACTCCACCATTGCAGTAATAAGATTATCTGCACCCACCTTAACAAGCTTTTCTGTTAGAATATTTTTACCAATGAACTTCCCAGAACAAAAAAAAAGCAAAGATTCTGTGGCATAAAGTAATATTAAAGAAAAGCAATTGGGAGGCAGAAGCATCAAGCATTTACAAAATTCACACAACTAGCATGTCATATAAAATATTTAACAGGTAACAACATAAATTTAGATCAAATTCAACGTATTATCTCACGTGTACCGTGTTAGTACCACCAAAATAAAATAAGATAAATTTCATAGCAATAAATATTCAAACAAAATATGTTTCAGAAGGGAGAGGGGTGGGGGGACTATTGTGCATATGATTTGAAGTCATAACAAATACGGCCGTATATATTGTTTAGTAACATTCAGAGTGTAAAATTTATTCATCAGGTGACTGGCATAAGTACAGTTCTTTGTTTCATTGTTGCCATTTTTAGGGGGAGAAAACAAAAACTCCCCCGGAAGCATTGTTTCTAAAATAGACACACCAATAGAAGGGAAAAGAAGAAGCCTGTATAGAAACCTACAAAAAGACTAGAGAGAAGAAGAAGAAATAAAGCATTTTCTTCTGCAAGCCAATCAAGTCTGAAGCAAGTAACAAACTATAACTAGAATAAAGTGCAGAAAAAAAGTTCACTCAGCTCCCCTCAGCTTCTCCTCCAAAAGCATGTGAATCAACTGAACTAATATACTTGGGCAAAGCACTTGTTGACAGATAATTAGGAAGTTTTTAGGGACAGGAAAATAAATTCACACATCTTTCCTATAATATATAGTTTTCAAGTAAGAACCTCTTGATGCATCGTTTCTGCCATATGGGATGTGAATATGAAGATGATAGAAATTATACACAAGCTGTAGGGTAAAATTCAATTCAAGCGAAAAAGCTAAAATGAAGGTATATTCTTATTGTGTAATTTATATGTCCTAGCACTTGATGGATGATATTCAAAGGTCTCTAATCCTGATTACTAGTCGAAGTTTTTGGTTTGTGTCCAAATAAGAATCATTCATTCTTGAGAACCACAGAACTTCATAAGGGCAATGCTTAAAACATTATATAAGCCCACTGCAGCGACAGGATAGGAATATGAAACTGATCCACCTGTCATGTACAGTCATACCACCAGAAAATTTGTGCAAAGTAAAAGCCACCTCCAACATCAGAAAACCTCATAAATGTATTGTGTGTCATTTCATAAGCACAAAGATCTTAGATAACATCAGCAATTATAGCACTTCACAAACACAGGGCCAACACTATTCGGTTTATTCATTCTAGTTTCTCTTCTGTTCATTTTTGGGGGAGGAAAAAGGAAAAGGAAGGGGGAGAAAAACGGCATCAGTATAGTGAATGCACCACACCGCCATTTAAGTGATGCCATTGGAAAATGCCACCAGTCACTATTTGAGCCTGATAATTACAATCATTGCTACTGCCAACTATGTTTCCACCAGCTCTCCCAAGGCCAACTCAACCATTGCTACAACCATCACCAATGAATGTCGTTGCTGCCACCATTCTGAGAGGGTTGGAGCAACCGTCTAAACCGAGATAGCTGCAGTCACTATCACGCAAGGCTTGAGAATCAAGAATCAACTCCTACACATAATCTGCAACCACAATTTGCATTGGAAGGTATCCCTTATTCACCACCACAATTGCCACCACCAAAATCAAATCGACACCATCTTCACCATCAGGATAAGCAGCTGCTACTAAAGCACCACCTCCACCACTGCAATTAGAAAACACCTTTCATCACAATGAGAATTGCCACCAACTACAACACTATTACTTTCACCGCCGTCTCCACCACCAAAAAAGCAACTTGTCACTATGTCATCACCTCCACCACTGTAGTACCTTCTTACTGCACTACAAGCACTTCAGTAATCCCATCACCTTAGCTTCGGTTCTCCGCAACGCCTCTATCAGGAAAGTCAACTTTTGATGCAGCCACCACCATAATTTTTCAGTTATTCTCCTCAGAACTAGAGCTTCATGAGAATCATTAAAAGTTCCCAAATGACATATAATTAACTTTTTGACTTGTCATTGACCAAGTAGAACATTATCTTTAAATTAACTCTACAAAATGCCATTTTTGGCTACTTCATTATTTACCTGAATATAAAAAAAAAAAAAAAAAACCTGCATGCCCAATGTTACTATTCCAATGCTTTAAAAATAAGGATTTACTCTAGCCACATCAAATTTCATAATCACCTAACATCCTTAAGATTCTCCCTCTTCCCCTAATTTTCTTCTGAAAAGTCAAGCATGTATTTGGTCCTAACCGCAAGTGGCTATCATGAAAAAGTAACATCTTGGATTTGACATCAACCAGATATAGTTAAAAAGTTCTAATATCACTTATATGCCAGATTCCAGAAAAAAGTTAGTTAAGATTGTAGAAGCGGCATTAGGGTTTGTGAGAAAGGAGTAAGAGAGAAAAGAAAAAAAAGAAGAGAATAAAATGTTGTATAGGCTATGTTGCTCTACACTCTGTAATTTATAATTGTTAAGTTTAGAGAGTTAACATAGTATTAGAGAAACAGAGAGTGGTCAAACTTAACTTACCTCTCACTAACAACTTGTATTTATAATCACCTCATAAACATACAAAAGATGGATATATCCTTTAAGAGGTAATTACATAATAATAATACTCTCAACACTGCCCCTCAAGATGGACTATATATATCATATAATTCAAGCTTGGAACACATGACTGTAAGACGAGTACGAATCAATACTTTGGTAAATATGTTTGCAAATTGATCATCAGATCTCACAAATGGAATTGTAATATCTCCAATTATTATCTTGTCTCGAATAAAATGACAATCAACTTTGATATGTTTGGTGCTCTCATGAAATACTGAGTTAGCAGCAATATGAATAGCCATTTGATTATTACAAAACAATTGTCAAGAAGACTGAACCAGAAAGTCAATTTCCTGAAAGAAGTGTAATAACCATGCTAACTCACTAGTTGTATGTGTTATTGTTCTATAGTCTGCCTCAACATTGGATCTTGCTACCACTTTTTGTTTCTTACTTTTTTATATAACAACATTACCTCCCTAGAAAGTACAATAACTAGTGGTTAATGTCCGATCTGAGGGAGAATCAGCCCAATTAGCATCTGAAAAATCTTCCACCCCAAGATGTCAATTGGCTCAGTACAACAAGCTAAGACCTGGTACACATTTGAGGTATCAAAGGATACGAGTAACTACCTCCCAATGTGGGACTCTAGGGCATCCTATAAATTGACTTACCGCACTAACTACAAAGGCAATATCCAGTTAGGTAATAGTGAGATAATTGAGTTTCCCAACCAACCTACAGTACCAACCTGGATTCTTAAACAGTGCACCATCATCCACCAACAATTTCTGGTTTGGATACATAGGAACATCAATTGATCTGCCAACCAGCAAACCTACTTCTTCTAACATGTCACGTACATATTTTCTCTGAGACAAACAAATACCCTGCTGAGATCTGGCAAAACCTCAATAACCAAAAAACACCATCCTCCATCAATAACTTCTAGTTCAGATCCATAGGAACATCAATTGGTTTGCCAACTAGCAAACATGCTTCTTCTAATATATCAAGTACATATTTCCTCTGATATAAACAAATACCTTACTTAGATCTAGTAAAACCTCAATACCCAAGAAATACCTGAGTTTTCCTAGATCCTTAATGTGAAATTGATTCTACAAGAAGATTTTTAACTTGACAATACCCTCAGAATCATTACCAGTAATGATAATATCATACACATAAATAACCAATAGAATATACCCTACATCAGTCTATCTGTGAAAGACAAAGTGTTCTGTTTCACACCGAAAAAAATCAAACTTTAAAATTACATCTGAAAACTTATCAAACTATCCCCTTGGTGCTACTTCAAAACATTCAAAGATTTTTTTAACCAACACACAGTCTTATAGTACTCCCCTAAGTAGTAAACCCAGGTGGTTACTCCATGTAGACCTCCTTAGCCAACTCACCATGTAAGAAGACATTCTTGACATCTAACTAAAATAAAGGCCAATCAAAATTAGCAACCAAAGAAATCAATACATGAACATAAGAGATTTTGGTAACAAAAGAAAAAGTCTACTCATAATCAACACCATAGGTTTAAGTAAAGTTCTTAGTAACAAGACGGACTTTAAGACGCTCAACAGAACCATCTAGATTAAATTTAACTGTATACACCCATTTACAACCAACAGTCCATTTATTTGGCGGTAAGGGAACAAGATTCCAAGTCCATTATGATGTACGGCATCTATCTTCACTTTCATAGCTTTCCTCCGACTTGGATCAGTCAATGCACCTTGTAAGGTTTTAGGAATAGAGATAATAGATAATTGAGAGGTAAAACAAGAGAAGACTAAAGACAAGGCATCATAAGAAACAAAATTAGCAATATGATGCTTAGTCACACACAATTGAGTACCTTTCTGAAAAGCAATATGTAAAGAGTCAGAAGTACCTAGGGGACTAGGATCATGAAACGGCAAAGAAGATGGCAGGGGCACCTTAGTCAATGATCACGGATGACGGCAATATACATAAAGCGGGGAAGTAGATGATAGTACAGTAGGCAACGAAATAGCCGACGGTAAAGGAAAGGCCGTGGTGTAGTGGACATCCAAAAGTCAAGATCTAGAGGCTGATAAGGAGCTGAAAAAATATTAAACAGTTTCATTAAAGGTGACATCAGCACTAGTGAAGTACCAATGTGGGACTATAGAAATGATACCCCTTCTGTGTGCAGGAATATCTAAGAAAGACACACTTGGTAGTACGAGAGTCAAGTTTATCAAACTCGGGTCTCAAGTTATGAACATAACAGACACACCCAAAGACTTTAAGAGTTAAGAAAAATAAGAGATTATCATGAAAAAGAATAGAATATGGACTTTGCCTATTTAGCACAGAAGATGGCATACAATTAATAAGGTGACAAGCAGTGAAAACAACATCACTCCAGAATTAACGAGGAAGATTCATCTAAAATAACAGTACATGAGTAACTTTTAATAGATAAACCCACAACTCATCTTCTCCACTACAAGGGTCATAACAAAAGCCCTAGATCCAATGACGCTCAACAGAAGCCCTAGATCCAACACCACTACAACATTGCTAGAAGCCACACCATGCTCCGATAGACCCTTCATTGATCTTCGGCGACTATAGCACAACGACAACCACCAACAACACCACCTCATACCACACCACAACGATCAGAGCAACACAATCACAACGATGTTTGTGATCCAAGAAAGCCACTTAACAAGTAACCCAGCGAAACCAAGCCACTCGACGAGCAGTCCGACGGTGTATTGCCTCACACCACCTCCAATGACCACCACACCACCAATGAGATGATTCCTATCAACATACTAACACCAAACACAAATCACAAGCAGCAAATCCAATTACACACAAAACCATGAACTTTATAGATTACCCACAACATTATACTATGGTCATGGGCCGCACGAACTAACTGGCAGGCAAAGAAGGGGAAAGGGAAGGAGAAGGGAAGAGAAAAAAAGGTTGAGGTTATTAGTTTAGAATCCTCAGTATCAAAGAAAGGTTAACTGCAGATTTTGGATCAATAAACTTGCTTTGATACCATGTTAAGTTTAGAAATTTAACACAATATTAGAGAAATAGAGAGTAGTCAAACTTAACCAACATCTCACTACCAACTTGTATATACCCTTTAAGAAGTAATTACATAATAATAATACTCTCAACAATAATAAACCAACATTATAAATAATTATATTATTACCCTACGCTTCTAATAATATAAAATAAAAACTCTAATACTCCCCCTCAAGCTGGAGTATAAAGACCAAAGATATACAATTTGGAACAAAGCTTAGTGAAGTCAGATTGAGCCGATGGTTTAGTAAGAATATCACNCCAATGTGGGACTATAGAAATGATACCCCTTCTGTGTGCAGGAATATCTAAGAAAGACACACTTGGTAGTACGAGAGTCAAGTTTATCAAACTCGGGTCTCAAGTTATGAACATAACAGACACACCCAAAGACTTTAAGAGTTAAGAAAAATAAGAGATTATCATGAAAAAGAATAGAATATGGACTTTGCCTATTTAGCACAGAAGATGGCATACAATTAATAAGGTGACAAGCAGTGAAAACAACATCACTCCAGAATTAACGAGGAAGATTCATCTAAAATAACAGTACATGAGTAACTTTTAATAGATAAACCCACAACTCATCTTCTCCACTACAAGGGTCATAACAAAAGCCCTAGATCCAATGACGCTCAACAGAAGCCCTAGATCCAACACCACTACAACATTGCTAGAAGCCACACCATGCTCCGATAGACCCTTCATTGATCTTCGGCGACTATAGCACAACGACAACCACCAACAACACCACCTCATACCACACCACAACGATCAGAGCAACACAATCACAACGATGTTTGTGATCCAAGAAAGCCACTTAACAAGTAACCCAGCGAAACCAAGCCACTCGACGAGCAGTCCGACGGTGTATTGCCTCACACCACCTCCAATGACCACCACACCACCAATGAGATGATTCCTATCAACATACTAACACCAAACACAAATCACAAGCAGCAAATCCAATTACACACAAAACCATGAACTTTATAGATTACCCACAACATTATACTATGGTCATGGGCCGCACGAACTAACTGGCAGGCAAAGAAGGGGAAAGGGAAGGAGAAGGGAAGAGAAAAAAAGGTTGAGGTTATTAGTTTAGAATCCTCAGTATCAAAGAAAGGTTAACTGCAGATTTTGGATCAATAAACTTGCTTTGATACCATGTTAAGTTTAGAAATTTAACACAATATTAGAGAAATAGAGAGTAGTCAAACTTAACCAACATCTCACTACCAACTTGTATATACCCTTTAAGAAGTAATTACATAATAATAATACTCTCAACAATAATAAACCAACATTATAAATAATTATATTATTACCCTACGCTTCTAATAATATAAAATAAAAACTCTAATACTCCCCCTCAAGCTGGAGTATAAAGACCAAAGATATACAATTTGGAACAAAGCTTAGTGAAGTCAGATTGAGCCGATGGTTTAGTAAGAATATCACCCAACTGATCACTAGACTTGATGTATGGTATGATAATCTCTTTTCGCATCATGAAATCTCGAATAAATGAAAATCTACTTCAATGTGTTTAGTCCTCTCATGAAATATTGGATTACTGGCAATGAAAATAGTCGTCTAGCTGTAGGTTGTTACAATGCAGTATGAGCCATGGCCTAGTAATCATCAACTGCACTCAAACGTGTAACTACATTTTGTTTCTTACTGTGACACGTCAGTAGATTGCCACCAATAAATGTACAACAACTTAAAATAGATCGTCGATCAACATGACTACTTGCCCGGTCAGCATAAAACAAGCCAGTAATAGTCATAAATGATGAAGAACGATATAATAATTCTTTGTCCAATGCTCCTTTCAGACACTAAAAAATATGAAAAATAGCCTCCCAATAAAACTTATGAGGAGCATGCATAAACTGATTAATCACACCACCCACAAAGGTAATATTAGGACGTGTAACTGTAAGATAAATTAGCTTACCAACCAACCTTCGATAACACCCTACATCATCAAAAATCTCACCATTCTCAACGTCTAACTTAACCTTGGAATCCATAGGAGTATTAGCTGGACGTGCACCAAGAGTACCAACTTCAAATAATAAATCCAATACATACTTCCATTGACACAAACTAATACCTTCTTTTGACTGAACAACTTCAATCCCAATAAAATACGAAAGAAGACCTAAATCTTTGGTATGAAACTGCTTTCCCAAATAGATATTGAAGTGGGCAATACCATCTAAGTTATTACCATGAACGATGTCATCAACATACACAATAAGAATAACAACGCCTGTGGAAGAACGATGAATAAAGACTGAATGGTCTAAGGTAGAGCATTAAAAATTATATTGAAGTTTAATAGTACTGAACTTATCAAACGAAACACGTGGTGATTGTTTCAAACTATATAGTGTTTTTTTCAGGCGACATTAATTGTTCCTTACTGGAGGTAACATAACCTAAAGGTTGTACACTTGTACCATATATACTTCCTCCTATTGGTCTCCATGTAAAAAGGCATTGTTAATGTCTACCGATACAAAGGTCAATGACAACTAACTGCAACAACAATAAGAATTCAAACAGGGTTAAAACGAGCAATAGAAGAAAAAGTCTCACAATAATCCACACTATATGTCTGTGTGAAGCCTTGGCAACCAAGCTTGTCTTCAAACGCTTAACTAAACCATTAGGATAATACTTCACTGTGTAAACCCAACAACAACTAACATGTTGCTCTCCAAAAGGAAAAGTAGTAAAATCTCATGTCTAATTCTCATAAAGGACTCATTTCTTCATCCATAGTCAATTTCCAAATAGGAGATGTCAAAACTTGTCGCAAAAAGCTAGGAACAAATAAAAAAGACAGAGTCAATGCAAAACAACTAAAAGATGATTAAAGCAAGTGCAAAGAAACAAAATTAAAAATGGGATGCTTGGTATAGGTACGGGTACCTTTTCTTAATGCAATAGGTAAAATCATAAGAGGATGAACTAGCTACTAGCTCAGAGGGTAAGACCTCAACAGAATCTGGTGATGGCTGTGGAGCTAGAACATATAGAACAACTTGTTTGTCCTTAGAATGACGACATATCTGCAATGGATGAGTAGTAATCCGGGTAGGAGAAAATACATAGTTTGATATGATAGGTAGCAATGGCTCCTCCTGACCGAAAAAGACTAAATCTAGTGAAAGTTTATGTCCTGTCACGGATAAGAAAAAAGATGACTCAAAAAAGTTAATATCAACACTAACATAGTATTGGCGAGAGACAGGATCATAGCACCAATAACCTTTCTTTATACGAGAATATCCCAAAAAAGGCACTTAACTGAGTGAGATGAAAGTTTATCTTCACCTGGGCCAAGAAGATGAATTAATGTAATGCAGCCAAAGATACGAGGAGTAAGTCCAAATGGCGGTTTATCAGGATAAAGCAATGAGAAAGGAGATTTGTTGTCCAAATGGGAGAAGGCATGCGATTAATAAGATAACTGAAGTAAGAACAACATTAGCCCAATATGGTTTCGCATGTGCATGTTAAACATCAAGGTGCGAGCAACATCCAACAAATGACGATGTTTATGTTCGATAACACCATTTTGTTGGGAGGTATGAGGATATATAGTTTAATGGATAATGCCACAGTTTGTACAAAAAAATTTCGTAAATGATTGAATATACTCAAAGCCATTGTCAAACCGAAGAACCTTTTTATGGATATCGAACTAAATGAGAATCTCATTATGAAAAGTGGTAAAGAATACGGGAGGAAGACGAATGAAAATTAAAGAATAGAGATGACATATCAGATATATGAGCACTAGCATCTGAATCCATAATTCAAGATGAAGGTTTAGCAACCATAATTGCTACATTACTTCTATTGGCAAAATTGGCAGTACAAGCAGACAAATTTGAAGAAAGTGAAGATACTTGTGAATAAGGTAAGTAAGCTAATAAAAGATCATCATGAGAGCAAGAACCAAATGCAACTGGGCCATCGGTAGAAGTTTGATGGACCCTGAGTAACATGTGCTAGTCTTTTGTATTTATCCTAACAATACTATTTAGCATGTCATGTACCACCATAGTAAGTACACTTCCACAAATAACTATAACCATTACTAGAACGACCACCACGTCTACCACGGTCAGTACTTTGACCAACAATACTGGTACTATAGCGTGGACCACATACACCACCACGATCGCCACCACCATTACCATTCAAGTTTGTCATTACGAAACCCAACTATGCACCTATAGGAACCAATAAACTACAAACAATCCTCAACCACACAAATAACCACGAACAAAGCCAAGAAAATGCCCACAATACCAAATCATTATCAATGTTGTAGCCACAACAACACACCAACACAAATCAATTCAACAAGTCTCAAAAGCATACCACAAAGGCCAAAAGAACAAAAAAAAGACACAGAACATAAATATTCAAACACTGTTCAGGGAGGAACAATGTGTCAACACCAATATTTTCAAAAACCACCTCCGAAGCAACCAAAGCAGGCTGGGCAAGGCAGAATACTCAAAAAACTAGCCAAACAGGTCTAAGAACAATGCTGTCAGCACTGATTGCCCCATAAAACACCTCCAAAGAAGCAATTTTCAAAACAAGACCCACTAGAAGTCAACACACTAGCTGAAATCACGCCACAAACCAATCAAGAAGCTAAAAAAACCAATCCCTAATAGAAGCCCAAGCTTGGACAACCCCCTACAAACTAGCCGACAGCCTTTTAGGCACCAAAACCATGGTTCTAGACGTCGCGGTATTGGCCATCGACTCGGAGAGTCCTGAGACACATCAGTCACGGCGTTGTATCACGGTGTCGAACGTTATGACCTAAAAGAAAATATTAGAAGTCATATTGCGATGTCACGAATCTATATCAGCCAATTCAGTGACGATAACTCGGCAATTTGAGTTTAGCTCGGATATAACTCAGACAAATCGGCAGAGTAATGCAAGATTTAGGATTTATGCGTATCGTGTAACGGTATCGTCTCAGTAGGTGCCGACTCATATCCGACAGAGTTGACTCGTATCGATATCAGTTGATACTTTGAACCATGATTCTCTACACCTCTCAAAACAACCTAGGCAACACAATGAAGCTGCCCCAAGTCCAAAACACACCTATCTGGTGCAGATCGAAGCAAAAAATTTCCAGATCTGTTTTGGAACAGCAGATCAACAATTTCAGCCCATTTTTGCAAAAAATCTTCAAAAATAGAAAACCCTATTCAAATAATTTCAAAAAAATAAATAAAAATCGCCACAATTATTACCATGAAAATTCAAGCCTGGGGTGGCTTTGGGTGTCCGTATGATGATGTCATCATGTTGACATCAACATGATGTCATCGTTATCAACGAAGTTAGAAAATAGGAAAAATATTCTACAGCCCTCAACGATGTTTTATGACAATATTTAGGTGTCCGATTAGTGCTCTGAAACCAAACTAAGATTGTAGAAGCGGTATTAAGGTTTGTGAAAATGAAGAAGTAAGAGAGAAAAGAAAGGAAGAGAATAAGTTGTTGTGTAGGCAATATTGTCCCACACTCTTATTTATAATAAATCGATATTATAAATAATTACATTATTACTCTACACTTCTAATAATATAAAATAAGAACTCTAACAAAGTTCTAACATCATTTACATTAGAAAAATAAATAGCCAA